AATGTACAACTTTAGTTAGACCTAGTTAAAGGGCTGATTCTCAGGAAAAAACATATCTCTAGCTGTCATCATCCATTTTCCTCATCAAAGAGAAAATTAAGAGGAGACAAGGTAGCAAACTCAGCAAGGCACGCATATTTTAAGTCACTTTGCACTCTTCAAGAGCGGCCTTTTTTCGATAATCCATAATGCATAGCAGCTCCGGCTCTCCCTGGTATTTCTCCTACCTTCTTGACGTCAGTTGCCATTTCTGATGGTTACTCTAGCAACGACCAGCCTCCCCAAGAGATGTCTGGTGGATAAGACGGCCCAGATAAAGCCTTTTAAGGTTCTACTCTTGCTCCACCTTTTAATTGCTTTTGATACGCTGTAAGTATTACATATGGGCCTCCAGGCAGTGTGGCCATGTGTGTATATTTAAAAAAAAAAAAAAAAAAAGGACATAAGTGAATAAAATAATACAGAAAAAATCTTCACACCCCACCTACGTATCTATGATTTGATCACCCATGTGCAGGAATCCTCACATTTGTGACCCAAAATTTGGTCTGAACTCTAGTTGGGTGATTAGTTTGTTGTACAGTTTAAATTTTATATGTAAATGTATGGCCTTCGGAATAATTTAATACATTTTACAGCATTTAGCAAATAATATACAAAGAAAACAGATATCATGTGCTTATTCATGTGCACCACTAATCCTTAAAGTCCTTTTTGACTTGCAAATCCTATTTGCAGGTAGAACTACTGTTAATTCATTCAAAAGAGTATTTTCCTTTTTTGCATCTATGCAAAAAAATCTCAGAAGTAGTGGGCTGCTGTAGAAACCTGTTGACTGCGTTGGGAAGAACTTCTCACGAGAAAAACGAGAGCTGTTTCCTATGAACCGTAAAAACAGCCATAATATTCAAATTATCTCATTTATTCACAATACTGCTCCTGTGTGTTACCAAGTCTACTCCTTGTGTGCATTTGAAGCTGAATTTGCATCCATGAAAATAAAATGTCACACATGAAAGCAACATCACAGGTAGGTCGCTGTATACAATGCACATTATGGGCTCTACTGTGCTATTTATAGCCTTCGCTGACGTATTTGCCTTTCTTTGGCTATTGATGTGCTATTTTTACATTGTCATTTTGCCCTACCTCCTTCCCTTTTGGTTGCCAAGCAATGAAACAGGGGACCTGATTGGCCAAGGAGACGCTTTTGCTGACTGTGACACTCAGCTGGCTGATGATATTCACTCTTATTCCGCTTACTGGAGCAGAATACTCACCGTGTTGTTTTCTCGTTTTATTAAGTAATTCATTTCCTAGATTTCACAGTTGATATCTGCAATGGAAATAATAAATGAAGATAATCCAAGCGGCATTATTGGTAACCTCACTCTGACATAATCTTTTGCTATCATGTTAATTCTAATCCTCATAATCTGTTTAGGGCTAAATTGGTAAGTCACACCTAAACCACTGCTGTGAAAGTGAATTCAATTAGACTTAATCTGACCCCATGCCTCTCCCAAAGGAAACCAAGAGCTGGTGAAACTTTCATCCTCCCTCCATTGATTATGGCTCGTGCAGAGATATGGAAAGCCTATCCCACTGCTCCCTTTCATTGGCCCCATGAAAAATTCATCCTGTTCTAATGGAAGGAGAGAGAGATCCTTTTGAATGAGCCTACTGCAGGCTAAGCACGCAGTGGCACAGCTGTCTCCTGGCACAATGCAGAATTAGACATTTGCATGTTTTGGATGTTATTGTAAAGCTAACTAATTGATGATGTTTAAGTTTAAGTCTTTGTTATTAAGTAGCTACTGCAATAACAACGCTTGAGTGAATTAAAACAGTTGTTCATTTCTTTTTTTCTATTTTTAATCCTGAAATGGGTTTTTAGATTTTTGATTTGATGTAAGTCTAAACTTCTAAAGCTTTTAATATAGAAAGAAATTGTGCTTAATGGAAACAGTTTTAGATTTAAAACTAAACGTGAGTAAAAATTTAAATCAGTTTTACTAAAAGACACAAGCCATTGCTTTTTTTTTTTTCAAAAAAAGTAAATGAAAGTTACATTATATTTAACTTATTAGTTATATATTTTAGTTTTCTTGCTGCCAATTATATACAATTTATTACAAAACATATGCAAATTATAAAAATAAAAAAAATGTTTCTTCCTATCTAAATTACAGTTGTGACTGTTCTATATTCCAAATCCAAAAACACTTTCCAAATAATGAGGGCTCAGATGAGAACATTCAAATTTGTCCCAACCTGAATGTTAACGATGAGGGAGTGTCAGATTATTGTAGCCTCATGTCTAACTGTCATGATTTTGCTCCGTTTAAGTTTTCTTTTTCAGTTTTATTTGGTTTCATTTACATTTTGAGTTGTTTTCTGGTTGTATTTGTGTTCTTATGTATTTCCTGTTTACCCTCTGTTGCTCTCTTGTGTCAGTCCCCTTATATACTCCTGTTCAGTCACTTTCTGCTGGTTCCTCATTGTTTCTTGGCTCCTTGTGTGTGTTTGCCCTGATGTCCTTTGTTATTTTTGTAATTCTGTATTTTGTTATTTTGGGATTTTTGCATCATTTTCCACGTTTTTATTATTAAATCTGCTACAAACCACTTCAGCTTCAGTTTCTGCATTTGGATCCTCTTTAAACCTTTACTGTACCTGACTGTCTCAATAGGGAGAAGGAGAAACGCCTAGTAAACAGAAGCTAAAAGCCCTTAGATATACCCAGCTTTCATTTGCAAATTAGCAGGCTTATATATTCGGTGAGTTGTGAAGGTGGTTTTAGGCAGAAATATTAGCTATATTAATAAAAACAAAAGTACATTTCTAAATGCTTTTTTATGTCTTTCCAAATTAAATTAAACTGATAAATCTAGGGTGACAAAAAAATAACCTTTTAATAAAACAAATCTTTGAAATTGAAAATATTTACATTTGATTGAATAATTATCTTTTTATTTAATGGTGACCATTACCATTTTCATTTGAGTCTGTTGTTGCTGGGATTCAAAAAGGACAAACTTGTTTTACCTATAGTAATCTACATTAAAGATTGCCTTTGTAAAACTGCAAAGCTGTCCTATCACATAAAGAACATATCCACGATTAAAGGACTAACGCCTTAGCAGGAGCTAGAGAAACGAATTATTGTGTTCATCTTCAGTAGCAGCGCTGTTTTCATAGGTCTGTCTAAAAATGTCGATAAGACTGCAGCGGATCGAGGATGCTTCTTGCAATAAATCTCAAAATGGCTTAATACCAGAATACATTACAGACTGTCTTACAGTGTATCAAGCCCCCAGACCTCTCAGGTCTTCTGGTTTTAAAGTACTTTGTATAGCTAGAGCCAGAACCAAACATGAAGAAGCAGTATTTAGTTTGTATGCTTCGAAAATCTGGAATTAACTCTCAAAAGATGTAAAAATAAAAACTTCAGATGCTTTAAATCAAGATGGAAAAAAAAAAATCATGGCCTTGGAAGGTTTTATCTAAACATTATTTGTTACAGTTCCGACATTTGTTTCCATTTTATTAATCATTTAATCTTTTTTTATATAATCCTCTTATTTGAAAGTGTCACTTTTATTCTCTATTGATGTCGCTTTGGGTTTTCTATTGGTCTTAAATTGGAGCATAATTAAGTTGAAACAACTTTTATATACAAGCATCAACATTCAGGTGCCTTTGGTGACATCACAGAAGGCAGAAGGCAATCATCAGCATAATTTCAATAACACCAGTGGGAAGAAATTGGGCAGGGAAATCCAATCTCTCAGATGTCAGAAATATAGAGGTTGTTTGGGTGAGCTAAAGTAGTATGAGTTCAGACAACATTAGACCCGCTGTACCTCCAAATATGTTAATGATTTCAAATGATCCATCCATTTTCCTTCACGCTTATCCCAAACGGGGTCGCGAGGGGTGCTGGTGCCTATCTACAACTGTCTATGGGCGAGAGGCGGGGTACACCCTGGACAGGTCACCAGTCCATCACAGGATATCCATCAAATGATAAAATGCAAGATATCTTTTATTCACTTTTACAGTGAATACAGTAATTTTTGCATTATTATTAACATCCTCATTAGAGCGAAACTCTGGTTCAAATACTTACTTTTGATTCTTTTACAGTTAAAACATGCTAGGGATTTCAAATAATTTCATTATTGATGACAGTTTACTGAAAGGAAATGTGTTTAGACCAATCGAATGAATAATATCAAAATGCAAGATGTTGCTTATATTTCTTTCGGTTTGTCAGAGTTTCTGAGACGTAGTTTATTCAAATAGAGCTAAAATAAATGAAAATAGAACTTTTGTTATAGTTTTGCATAAATAAATTAAGATTTGACTATGTTATTATAGTTTTATGACTGAATTCAAAACAGTTATTCTGCTTGCTTGGGGGCAGGAGCCAATCAGTCTGGTGTTATTAACTCAGACGCATTAAAAAGTTTTTGCAATATCAGGTATTTCTTCTATGCTTTAAGAAATCCTTTAAGAAATGTCCCATTTTGTGCCAGAAAGTGAAAAGTCATACACTATAAATATTTTTAAAAACAAGTGCTTGACATGTTTACATGTGGTTTCCTTTTGATGGATTTTGTTTTAAGTTATATTTACATAAATCAATTAGTAAACATTAGAAGCACTGGTTCTACTCTATTAATTTCTTGAATTAAAAAAAAAAAAAAACCTTCTACATGTCTGTTTGTTTCCTGTATCCCACTCGGTTTCCTCAGTGTAGAGGGGCTGGCAGAATGTACCATTTTACTGGGAGGGAACACAAAACGTTGCACATATTTCCGAAGCATGTTTAGCAAGCTACAACATCCCTCTCAGATGCCGTTTTTTATATTAACGTAAGTTTAAACACATTTAAAGGTAGAATAAGTGTTTAGTGTGATTAAACTAATTCAACATGGCAACGTTAACTAGCGTGCACCCCTTGGAGTAGGCTGTTGCCATGTTCCCACTTTCATGGGTGTGGTGATTAGCCTGCTTGGTGAAAATTTCAGTCAAATCCGATCCGAGCGGCTGCTCCCTTCTGACCCCTAAAAGCGGATTATATCGTGTGGAAATTAACGCGGTTCCTCTCCCCCCATCTGAGGCAATGGTTGTCGTGTGAAAACATATTAGTGCTACACAGACTGGAGGAACCGGACCGAACCAGAACGCCTCTTTTTCAGGTGAGGACGTGCAGTCTCGTCTTTGGGTATTTTGGTTGCCTGTGTCTTGTCAGTGTTTTTAGGGCTATTTCCTGTTTTTTGTTAAAACGGGATTTATAGTAGTATTGTTATTTTTCTATTATTGTTTTTGCTTTTGCGACCTAAGTGGAGTTCACACACGTCCAGAACCGTGAAATAGTTGCGGCTCTTGAAATAACAGTTAGCGGTGTTTTTGATGTGTGTTTTCCCCTCCTTTCCACTGCCTACAAATCCACAGCTAGCCGAACGCGGCCTTTTACCGCCTGTAGGGCGGAAACTATCAGCGACTCACTACTTTTCACTAGTATTTACGTATCCTTTACCCCAATTCTTAACACTGTTCTATTTACTTGTTTCTTTTCTCTCTTACAAAAACCTCTGCGTGACATTTGTCAGTTTTCTAGTTATTAATACTCATGCCAGTCCGCCTGCTTATCAGTATCAGCTGGTGGTGTGACGGGGGCCCTGCCTGCTTCACAGACGCATCTCCACTCCAGCAGCCCAGAATAATAATAATCATAATAAAACTATCACACAATAATGTCGCACAGTCTCTTAACATAATTCGACTTTCAGTTTTTCAGTCTGTGGTTGGGTGTCTGCCTCTCTGAGTGTGAAACCGTGAAGTAATAGTGAATCATTTCGTCTGCTGGTTTCATCATGCCATCAACAAGTGGTAACTAGTTTAGGTAAGATCTAAAGCTGAATGTGTCAAATTTCACATTTGATTTTAAACTATTTGATAGATTATCATAAGAAATTAATTTAAGCAAAAACGGTGGGGGAAACGGTTGATTTAGTAATTGAAATTGTGAGTAAATATAAACGTGGTTTTTTTTTTTCTTTTTAAAAAGCATTTCTTCATCTTTAAGTGCAACAATTTGCTCATATTTACTCATACATGTTTATAACACAAGATTTTAGATTGTGCTGCAGGTTTATTGATTAGAGGCAGTACTTTAAAATCTAATGGGAAATTTAGTAATTGAGGGGTAAGACCCTTTTTTTAGCCAGCTGACCAGTAGTGTGCAGCGACTAGTTGAGAAAACTGCAGTAATGGGATCCTTTCTTTTGAAGGGTTGGTCTCTATTTCAGATATAAATGCATTTCACCTATTTAGGTTATATGGTTGTAAACATGGCTGCTTCATTAATTCAGTCTATCTTACTGGTGTGGAGGCAAACTGGAGAAACACAAGACCTTAAACTGTAATCCTAATCATTCTTATTCATCTGCACACCTACATTAAGGCTGCACTATGGATTAAAAAGTGTTTTGCTTAATATAATTGCAGGGAAATGTTTAATTGAAGCAGGTTAATTATGAATAAATTGTGGTCAGTGTTCTTAATAAAAAAAAAAAAAATATGTATTGCTTGGGCAAACTCTTTCAGTTTCCAGTAAATGTTGATGTGATAAAAGGCATCAATAGGTTAAGCAGACGGAAGTTGCATCCCTTTTTTGCCTTACTGGAATTTTGTTGATTGTTTCCTCCATTCTCCAAATGCTTCTGTCAGGTGAACGAGGTTCACATGTTATGACATTGAAATAGAGTAGGTTTACTTCTTAGGCAACAAAGGAAAGATTAGATGAACATTTTTAACGTTCTATCCCTTATTGAAGAGACTCTTTGTGGCTTTTTTCCCCAGAGAGAGAAAATAAATAAATATATATATATATATATATATATATATATATATATATATATATATATATATAACTGTTTATTAAAAAAATACAGGGGAGGGGTGGGGTTAGAAAAGCATGATTAAAATGTTATATTTTTTTCTCTCACTCTCTTTGCTCTTTTCTGTTTTACTTCTGAACTACGGACCAAGTTGACCAAATTTTCTTTATATTGAATAGAAAAACCTTTAAATACCAAACTATGTATAGAAATATTTCTATTTACAAATTACATATTTCTTAAATTGTTTATTCGTCATCCTTTGACCACTAGCGACATGCCGGTAAGCATAACCACCGAATTATGTAAATCAAAGACATCATCCTTCTATTTAAATACTTTATTATGATTTTTAGAGCTTTGCATATTTCTGTAGCATTTTAATAAATAACCGATCGATATAAATATTAAACATGTCCTATAGACTGGTTTATATATTCACTGAATCCAGTGTGTAGCTGCACAGCATTCTGGGAGATGTTGGCGGAGGAAGAAAATAGCCTTTCCACCTCTCTATCAAACTAAGCAAGGTTGGCGGTACAGCTGCCCTCTTTTAAAAGGTTACGTTCAAATAGGGTTAAGATTGAAATCTAAATCTTCTTGTTCCACTGATTTTTGTTTTAAATCATAAAAAAAAATCTAAAAACAAATCAGTAGTTTTATCAACTCATAATAAAGGCTTATATGGTCATACAGTCATATCATACAGCAAAGGGAGGCATGTTGAATAGTTTAGCACCAAGGGTCCATTCAAAGGATGGGGATTTCTAGCTCCTGGTAAACATTATAGATCGATTGACGCAGTTTTGTTTTTTCTTTACTTTTTTTTTCTTAAACACCAATGTTGTTATTTCTTTCTCTATTTACATGAAAAAAAGACACAATTATGACATTTACATGTTAAACATTAATTAACAAATCAAACAGACCAGCAATGTGTGCTCTGCATGTGATCTCAAGGCATGGCTGCTGAATGTGCCGATGAATCTGAGAACGCCTGCATGTGTCCGATACCAATACAAGAAAAAAAGGTCTGGCCGACATTTCTGTCTATCTCTATTTAATATTGGCCAATGTTTGATATTATTTTGATGATTGAGAGGAGAAAGTGGTTACTGTCGCTTGACGGCCATGTTTTAATGCAAAATAAATAAAAATAAGAGAAATAGTTATGATGTAATTAGTAAAAGGCTAAAGTGAAGAATATTTCAAAACATAAGAGGTTCATTAATCTTAGTGAGACTATCATGCTTAAATAAAGGCTAATTTGAAAAATATATATATATTTAAACAGTTAAGAAAAACTATTTTTTCTTTTTTAAATTGATTTCATTTTTGTTTCTGTTTGATTTTAGTGGTAATTTTCTGCATGTCTGGCTTCATCACAGCCCTTCTGAATGAATGTTAACATTAATAATTTGGGAAATTAAGTGAAATCGATACTCATCCGTCAACTTCCAAAACCAAACTAAAATAATTTACCTCTTTGACAGTATATAGTGTTAGATATTTCTTTGCGTTTTCCTCTTTCCTGTTCTTCCCACTTTTTAACTTTGATGAGGTAGAAATTGACAGTTTACACACTTTGCATGCCTTTAACTAACGAAATATGAAGTCAGAACTGGTAGATCTCCCATTTAAATCCTCTCCAACAGGGAGAGATGCGTTAAAGTTCCTTTTATGCATATTAAATGAGGAGACAGTCCATCTTTTTCTAGAAATCTACCAGCTTACATGCTCTACTTTGATAAACGTTCTATAAACTTTTTATCAAATAATAGTTGGGTATAATGTAATATCCTAATTCTCTGTTAGATTTTTTTTAAACTTTTGTTTAAAGAAAACTTGCAGCATGTCTTATGTTTTATAGTAATCAGTCAGAATCTGCACGTCAGAACATGAAGTAAAAGACTATCAACTGTTTTTGTCTGTTTATTTTAACCTACAAACTGTTTTTGTTATGCAGGTTTTGTAAATAAAGGCAGAGTGTCATTGTTATAAATTATACATAATGATAAACCTACTGTATTAATATGCTGGTCAGGTTTTCAGTCATCCAGGGCATAGTCATTCCAAAAAAGTTAGTTTTTGGAATTGAAAAAGCTTCCTGGATGTGAAGTGAAATGTCTTCCAACTTGGAAATAAAGTTCAGTGGATTGTTTTTTTAACTTTTCTGGAACTACTGTATTAATAATCAATGTATGATTAATGATCTTCATTATTCATTAAGGAAAAGGGACTCTGTCACTAAACTACGATTTTGTTGGGGGCAGGATCTTTATCATTTGCAGGAAGGATTGTATTAATATGTTCTACTTCACAAATTTACTTAAAGTGTAGCAACATAGATACTTTTAATTATAACAAAAAGGGAAAGTAGCTGAATCCATAACATTAAACACTCTAAAGTGTTTGGAAAAGCCCCCTTAAATTGTAATTGTTAAATTGTGCTGTTGTGTAAGTATAATGTACTTTTTGCTGCCTCTTGGCCAGGACTCCCTTGACAAAGAGGTTTTAATCTCAGTGGGACTCTTCCTGGTAAAATAAAGGTAAAATAAATGTTTTAAAAGTCTTGATATAATCAGGATGGATCTATTTAAAGTTTTTGATAACAGAGAAGTTAAAGCTCCTGCTGGTGTTGCAGTCCCACGTCTGATTGTGTGGCATATACCCATCAGCCATAGCTGGTGGGCACATTCCAAACAATGGGCACCTCTCGTACGCTACGCTCTGCCTTCGTCATCCTTTCCCCAAGCAATGCACCATATTCTTGTCTTGATTTTTCTTGTTCTGTGCCTCAAATTGCACAGCTACAGAAAAAGTATACATTAAGTATAGAGCTGTATAATAAAGCGCCCCCAATAGCTATCCATTTTCATTTAGTTTGATTTGTTAATAAAAGTCTAAATTGGAACTTTTGTAACGTTTGCTGTCTTTGTGTTATTTTTATCATGTAAATAGAGGGAGAGGAGAAAAAAAATACCACTAAAATTTTGGCTACAAGATTCATCCAAAATCAGAAGCGCATATCCGGGATCATTTTGACTGATGTCAAAATAATTGCCATTATTATATAAAAAAATAAAAAAAAACCTGTGTGAGTTGATCTCTAATGTCCCATTTGAAGCACAAGGAGCCCTCTGTGGTGCGTCAGCCTATGGAGGCGTGTAGTATAACAGATAGATGGCTGTTTTAGAGCAGAGACACATCTGAGGCGGGCTGCTGCTAAGCTCCTCCCACCACCTTGCGTCAGAGCGGCATCAGTCATGGTCAGCTGAACGCGCTGAGCAGGGTAATTTGACACGATGGAGGAATAATTAAATTAGCTTATCAAGGTAAAAATCTTAAGAATTATTAATGGTATCAGTAGATTATTATTATGTAATAAGGGCGAATATGTTCAAGTGGTTTCCTGTGGACATTTGAAAGCCTGCGTTAGTCCCAGTGGTTGAATTATAGATTAAATAAAAGATTTAATCTCAGTATGATGGATTACTGTGAGAAAAGGCTGTCCAAAGATCTCAGAGAAATCTCTGAGTGCTTTGTGACCCACATTCGTGCTCCCCAAGGTAAAGGAAGTGGCAACTTGCTCGTGCAGAAATACACAAGCATGCATGTGCAAATAAATGCTTAATATGACGCTCACAGACATGCTGACACAATGTACGCTAACTCATAAATGGTTTCTTCTTCTGTTATTCACTTTGACTAATAAACAATGCTGACCTGCCCACACAGTTAGCAGACAGTGGTTCAGAGCTTGCACGCTCAGCAGTGGGCCATGCCAGCAGCGCAGTGCGGCGACACAAAAGGCCAATTGAGTAAGGAAAGGTCGGGGCCCAGTTCGGATGGCCTTTTGAACCAGAGTGAGGGTGTTTGAAGAGACAGACCTCCTTCCAAGCTGCCACCCAGTCCCTGAAATCCTCCCTGGTGGGTCTGGATGGCAGCATTGTAGCCTTAGAGCTTAACCCATCCTAACCAAAACAGGAAACCTCTCTTTGTCTTCAGCTGCTATTCTTTCCATCTACCTGTTGAACTTAAAGAGTATTTCTGTCTCTGTGTTGCAGGTGTCAGCTGGCAAAGTGTTTGTATGTGTGAGTGAGTGAGTGAGGGTGTGTGTGTGTATGTGTGCAAGCACGCACGTGTATTTCCTTAACTTAGCCAGTGTTTAGAGAGGAGTGCGTCCTGAACGCATCTAACGGGGACAATGAGCGAGCTGGAACAGTTGCGGCAGGAAGCAGAGCAACTACGCAATCAGATCCGGGTAAATAAACGTTTCCATTTGTTACAAAATTATTCTTAACATTTGAACGTCTTATACTTTACAGCTATAGTTTTAAGGAACATTTCTATACATCTTTTATTGTCAGTGCGAGACAGAAACATGATTAAAGTGCAAATGTACTTTCTCCATCCTGATAACGATTGTAATCACAGTTGATCTCTCCTTGCAGGATGCCAGGAAAGCCTGCAGTGATTCCACTCTGTCGCAGGTACGATTCCCTCTAAATTTGAACAATAACAAATTCCTTTTCATTTTGTGGCAGGTTATTAAGGCGCTATGAGTAATTTGGTCAATGTTTTCCATTCTTATGTTTACAACTTCCTTAAATAATTGTAATAATTCTTAGTAATAACCAATAAAATGCAAAGCACCACTATCTAGGATACTGTTATTTATATTTATACAAATGTTTTAACGCTATCGGAACCAAAACCGGTGGGACTAGAGCTACATTTTCCCTACAGTTGATGGGATTACTCTATGTACATATACTCCAGCCCAGTAAGCGGAAGTAAGAGAGAGATGAGAGGGACAGACACGAATAAATATGCAGCATGGCTTTCCTACTTAATATAGCAGTCTGATTATGGAGAAGACAAAGCAAAAAAAAAAAGCCAAGTTTGAAGCTTTTTTGTTGTTTTTTTTCGTGCAAACGGGCTTAAAAAAAAAAAAAAAAAAAAAAAAAAAGACCTTACTCTGCAGCAAAATCTGGATAAGCTGATAAAGATGTCCAGGGAAAATGTGTTAAGGATTTAAGGTGCATCCCCAGTAAATATTAAAAGAAAAATTTTAAGTAAAAAAAAAAATGAGATTCCCACTTTTGACCTTTGACACATTTCCTAAACTACAAAACTCTGCATAGAGGCACATGCAGCACCTGTTGAAGATGTTCAGCTTTGGGGATGATTCTGGAAAAGCAGAGTTAGACCGAACTCCTTCAACAGGTTAAAAATGGTGAACAGATAAATATTTTACTGAAGATGGTGTGCTGTATGTAGAACTAAGGATGCACTGATTATGTTGTTGGACGATGTCAGCATTGCCTTTATGGCCAATAACCAGTATGTATTTTTCTCTACCCTTTTATTAACTGACCACAGTGCTGATATTGCTTCTGTTAAAAGCCCAAAATCCTTTACTGCATTATAATCACAATGATCAACAACAGCTAGATTAAAATAAACATTGGTTATTAATATCGGACATGTTTTAATGATCGCACCAATATGTGTAAGAATGACCAACACCAGCGTACAGCAGTGTAAATGCTAATGGATGGTACAATCCTGCGGCTGATATTTTAAAATGGAATATGCAATGAAGTTTAAAGTTATCAAACAATTTTCAGAAATAAAATGTATTTCTATGTATTAAGGTGAAGTCTAACTTTGAGTTATAAAGTTTAACAGCCTGAATTAATGCTCCTATTGATTGGTACCCATGGTAACTGGTGGAGCATTTTCCTTTAGCTTTTCTGGATTGCTTTGTGTTACTACCACAGATCTGAAAGTTATTAAAAATTTATTATAAACTAAAGCAAAGAAATGCATGATTGTGAAGTTAAAAGAAAATTCTTTTCCAATTTTTTTTTTCTATTAAAAGTAGTCTGATTTGGTTTTGTATTCAACCTACTTTCCTTTGTTGACAATGTTATATAAAGTCCAGGGCCACCAGTTGCCTTTGGAAGAAAATGGTAAATGGTGTCCATCAGAGTGAATAACTGATGCTAATTGTATAGCATCACTGAACAAAGAAAACTTAAGGGATTCTCTAAACATCTTAGAGCTATGTTCAGGTCCTCTGAAAATTGTAATAAAACAACTGTGAACATTATTGTGTTATAGTTTGGGTCGTACATTCTAATATAAAGTCAAATTTGAAGTTTTAACAGGATGCATGTAATCTCACATTTTATACTATTATACATAAACTGGTACATAAGTCATTGAGCATTGGTGATCTGTGCCGGCTTTATTGTTAATATACTGTCCTGTTTTCGCTGCCTCAGCTTGTGTCCACTTCCGGTATCAGGTTGGTTCTCTAGTTCTCTGCTTCCTGTGTTTATGCAGATCACAGCTGGTCTGGACTCAGTGGGCCGGATACAGATGCGGACGCGACGTACTCTCAGGGGACACCTGGCTAAGATCTATGCAATGCACTGGGGGAGTGACTCAAGGTGATTAGATTTCTTATACGTGCTTCAATTTCTAGAAACTTACGTAAATGTCCATTTTGGTTGCAAAATTTATATTCAAATTACACTGGATGTAAAACTTTTGTTTAGGTTATGTTTAATTGATTCCTTCCCTTACCTCCTTTTGCTTCTTTAATTTGTTTTTGGTTCCAGTGTAATCTGTGTAGAGTTTATCCAAAGTCTAATAAACGAAGCCCGAGGACTGTTATTATTTTAGAATCTGTCATTCTGTCTGTATATGTCTGCACCATCAAAGAATTCAGACAATGTAGAAGTAGCATTGAAAAGTTCTGGTTAAAGTTTTTCTGTGCAGCTAAGCTCCGTGCAGAGCACATGTCGGCACCAAAGGCTTTTTTAAATCAGTAGTAATAAAATCTTTGTGTTTTGTGATCCTTTCTTTCTCTATCAATGCAATACACTGGGGCAGTGACGACAGTCCCAGGTCTGGGGCTGTAAAACTATCCGTACTCCCATTACTACTCCAGTCTCTACTAATATGACTAATATTCCCATAATCACCTTTTACTGTCACTTTACAATTAAGGCAACAGCACTGTTTTAGCTCCTCGCTTAGAACACATTAAAGATATTTGGCCGAAGCAGAAAAACGCTTTTTGCATTAGAGCTGCAGCTTCTAAGAATTTTTCTTGCAAATTTAACATTGCAAGATGCTGCAGGCTGCAAATGTTCACTAAACTAGTTCTTACAAACTGCTTTATTCACAGTTTGCTGCAATATGCACTGAGAGGCGCAACAAATCAAAGCTAGGATTATAGTTTACACTGTGTATGCATGCTGTACACTATTGTTGAGTCATAGAAAGCATCTTTTCTTTCCACAAGTGTATTATCCTAATATAATCTGGATTTAAACCGCATTTAATTAATACAAGTAAATGTTTTTTGTTTGTTTTTTTTTCAAAAAAAAAAATCCTCTGAGGTCAAAGGCCTTTGCACACAGGGTTCATTAAAAATAATCAGTTATAAATGTCTCTTAAAAAAAAGCGTGCAGACCCATTGATTTTGATCCACCTTTGTATATTCTCTAAGGATACAATGAGAAGCTAATGACTTCCATGTGTAAAGGCCTGATCTCTGGCTGCTCTCAGTCCTTAAAACATGTCTGTGGTTGAAGGTGTGAGCACAGTGTTTGTTTTGCATACAGCCAATGACATTTGAGCATGATGGCTCTCCTCTTGATTATACCGCAGCACCATTAAGCCACTTCCTGTACCCGGACCCCGTCGAGAAGGGAGGGAGGGGTTCCAGCTGTTCCTGCATCTAAAACTAACCCTACACCCCCCCACCGCACCCCAATTTTCCCCCCTTTGTTGTTTTTGCACTCTCATCTCTGCTTAAGGTGGATATAACATAGGGTGGGACCAGGAACAGTCAGGGAGTGGTGACACTACAGCTGATTAACCTCTTAATAGTTCAGGCAGCACATAGTGTAAGGCGGGTGCTTCTCATCGCTTTTAGTGAACTAGGTGCATGTAGCTTAGATTATGATGAAATATCTACTTGTGAGTTAATGTCATGCTGATGTTCTTCATCTGCTGTCAGGTTACTGGTCAGCGCCTCGCAGGATGGAAAACTGATCATCTGGGACAGCTACACGACAAACAAGGTGAGGATTGGCTGAAATGTTTGTGGCTTGTGATGGCTTGCTCCAGTTTTAAATGGACAGTTTTGTACAGCATTTTTCTTGGGGAAAATTAAAAGAATCCCCTCATTTAAAAAAAAAAAAAAAAAGAGTTTTATTTACACAGAGAAAAAAAAAAAAAAAAAAAGAGTTTTATTTACACAGAGAAATTACAATTTAGGTATTTTAATTGCTAACTGATAAACATTTTATCAGAAATATTAGCAAATTGTCTTGTTTTTCCTTTGTCTAAAATTCTTGTTTTCTTTGTTTTGTGGGGGAGGGGGTTCTAAAGAAAATGTGAATGCATGTTGGTTCTTTATGCACTATATGGCCAAAAGTATTTGGTCACACCTTCAAACCAGTGAATTTGGATGTTCTAATAATTTCTATGGCGGATGGTAAGTTTGACACGTCAGCCCCGTAGAAAACCTTTGGAGGTCAGACTGTATCTGACTATGAGCCTAAACAATGTGGAATATGTTTACTAAATATATATATTTGCTGGGAATGTGGGTCCATATACAAATTAGACTCTACAAATTAAGAATAGAATTATGTCATCGAAGTTCACGTACATGTGAAAGTAAGGAAGTATTATACAAATATCTACAAACAACCAGGCCTAGATCAGAAACCTGATTTCTATGCCATCATTTACCTCAAGGAACATTTTAGTCAGAGAATAAATAAAACTGATTTATCAGTTAGATTGTGGGATTGCAATAAAACTAGATTGTGCAAAAACTGTAAATTCTTTAGTAAAATAGGCTGTGGATTAAATCTCATTTCATGTCCCTTGCTGACTTTTGTTCACTCTTAGATGCATGCTATCCCGCTGCGCTCTTCATGGGTGATGACGTGCGCCTACGCCCCCTCTGGGAACTACGTGGCCTGTGGAGGTCTGGACAACATCTGCTCGATATACAGCCTGAAGACCCGAGAGGGCAACGTCCGGGTCACTCGAGAGCTACCTGGACACACGGGTAGGGGAACTTTTATTTTTTTGTTTTTTCTTTGAGATAATTAATTTCACAAATGCTTGTAAAACCTTCAGAAATGTCCCTTCTGTTTACTTGGGGAATGAAACATTTAGGTTTTTTTTTTTGGGGTTTTTTTTTTTTTGGTTCTCCAAAGGATCGAATTAGAAAGAATGACTTCTGATTCCGATTCCTTGTTTTGTGTTCAGGTTATTTGTCATGCTGCCGCTTCTTGGATGACAACCAGATACTAACCAGCTCTGGCGACACCACCTGGTGAGAAGCCCCCACACTTCTAACACCGCAGCTTTTTTCACACTTTAACCATTGGAAACTTCTTTTCACAGTTTTTATTCTTAAGCTGCGATTAATTGCAAAGTTTAAAGTTTTGTTAGGTTTATCAGAACAATATTTCTCTTTCTCATTTTTTTTTCTTCCTTGCAGTGCATTGTGGGACATAGAGACGGGCCAGCAAGCCACCTCCTTCAGCGGCCACACTGGTGACGTTATGAGCCTGTCCCTTAGCCCAGATTACAAGACTTTTGTGTCAGGAGCTTGTGATGCCACCTCCAAGCTGTGGGACATCCGTGACGGCATGTGCAGGCAGTCGTTCACCGGCCACGTGTCTGACATCAACGCCGTCTGTGTGAGTGCTTAACCCTGGCTCTCAAATAGCGTCTGGTTAGGAGGATGGTTCTCTTTTCTGATATTAGATCTGCAAACATTATTTAATCAAAATAAGAAACTTATTTTTTAAGATGTCAACCATTGTGTCATCTGAGCTGTTAAAGCTGTAACGTTTGGTGTTTTGCTTTACTCTTGCAGTTTTTCCCCAATGGAAATGCGTTTGGCACAGGCTCGGACGACGCCACCTGCAGGCTGTTTGACCTGCGTGCCGACCAGGAGCTGATGATGTACAGCCACGACAACATTATCTGCGGCATCACCTCTGTGGCTTTCTCCAAGAGTGGCCGCTTGCTTTTAGCCGGCTACGATGACTTCAACTGCAATGTGTGGGACACTCTAAAAGGCGACCGAGCAGGTATGACGTCTGATCAGGAGGTTTCTGCTCTCTCTGCTTAATAAAGCAGAACGATGAGCAAAATCAATTTCCAATAGCTAATTATTTTCTTTTTCTCTCTGCTCTCATTTGGACTGTAATATCCAGCTTTTACGTATTTAACACTGGGACTCCCAGAATTCTGATCCTACTAGAACTCCCACTGGCCGTCGATTTGACGGGTGACATATTTCCCGATGGAATGCATTAGTAGTGATGATGTCATCAACTGAGATGGTTCTAGTGTGCGATATAAACTCTTTGTGGATATGTGGACCTTATATCAGGTTAAATATATATATTTTTAAAGGCTGTATTGTATGCTATTATTATCTATGGTCTAAATTTGTATAAAAAATGAATTGGTAAAATAAATAAGTCTGTTTTACCACACAGGTTCAAAGTTTAAAATTACAATTTTATTTACAGAAATACTTTACCCCCATGCATTTTCCCCGGACGACCTTTTCACATTTGTAACAAACATCATATGATACGTTTTTTTTGTGCAATGCTGAAACACCCTGCGCTGTTTTCTTTGCCTCTCCAAAGCGGCTCTTCAGCGGGGGAGGGGCTTGTACCCTGCGGAGGGCATATAGTCGGCATGCCAACCTGTATGTGATTATAGCAGACCATGGGCTCTGGTTTGTCTTTTGGGCCACCGAGTGTACCGGCTGAGGTGTGGGCAGCCCTATCCAAAACTTGAACAAAAGTTTCTCTATTGCCTGATGGGTCACTGATACGATCATCCTTGGACTCTTTGTCACAATCTGGGCCACTTCCTACCCAGTCCTCCTGATTGGTCTCTCCCTCTCAACCTGAATAACTATCATCAATATTTTGAAGCATTTCTAAAGCCTGTTTCGCGGTTAAATTTCTTCTGAAAGCCATTTTTTCCATATTAGCCAAAGAGTTCCAGGTAGGATGTCGATTGCTCGGCAACAGTACCAAACGTCAACCAGCCGCGGGAAGAAATTACAATGCAACTAATAGAGCCGTCAAAATGACGGCTGTGGGAGATCGAGCTAGAATTAACCATATTTATTTTTTACGTTTTTATTTTATTAAAAAAATTACGTGAAAATGAAGGGAAATATAGAAACAGGAAAAGTCAGTTAACATAAGAAACATATGATGAATGTAAATAAAGTTCTTTCCCTTTAAAATCTCAGAACCGTCAAAATTGACTGTCGTGGGAGTTCTAGTGTTAAGCTGTTGTCATCGCTATTTGTTTTTTTGGCCGAAAATTGTTCCCAGCCCGACCCTCCATTACAAGAAAGAAATTTAGATTAATATGGATATTGCAGGGTAAAGTTCTTTGACTAAAAATCAGTCTGTGACATAAAATGGAAGACTTATTCATTTTCTTCCTTGTTTTATATAACATGCATTGAACTGACTGCATCACCAGAATCTGGGTCAGCAAAAACATTATCTGGGCATTTTAAATGATAAAGCACTCAAGTTATTTAGTTGAGGGCAACTTACGGAACTTTGTTGAACTGGATTTTATTTGACAAAACCTGACTAAAAGAGGCAGAATATAAATAAGTCACAGATGTCAGGTTTTTGTTTGTTTTTTAAGATAGTTCCTCCACTTTATGGTTATACGCTTCTTTTTAGTTGGTTCATAAGATGAAATCCTAATAAACTGACTTGTTTTTTAATGCAACATGTTAAAATGTAAAGATTTTTCATTCTTCCAATGTACCTTTAGATTATGTGACCATCTTGCGGCTTTGCTTTGTGTTCGCTCTCCTCCAGGCGTCCTTGCAGGCCACGACAACAGAGTGAGCTGCTTAGGAGTGACAAACGACGGCATGGCTGTGGCCACCGGCTCCTGGGACAGTTTCCTCCGGATCTGGAATTAAACCAAATGTCCGGCCTGATGTCCTCAATCACTGCCTGCCACCTTGGTTCTGCAGCCCCCACGCGACTCATCTGCTGGGCTGGACCCGAGGGAATGCATTTTGAAAGCCCTTTTCATCCCTCCCAGCGGAAGACTCTCAAAAAAATTTTATTTTTCCCCCATCCGGCTCTAGAACAACAAAAACCTTTATGAAAAGTCCAATCTAAACCAAGAAATCATCAAAAAATATTGAATATAACTTATTTTCTTCCTCTAAAGGGCATTAAAGTGCATCAACAGTCATGGTTACAAAAAAAATGATCATCAATGTGTAATATGTAAATGTATATATAAAGGCAGTATATATGTATAGCATTATGTGTGTATATATGCATCATATATGCATATATAATGTGTGTATGTATATATTTTTGTAGTTATTTTTCTTGCTTTTTATTTTATTTGGTTTACTATAGATATAGAATACCAGAAATATCAGTAACCTTTAAAAAAAAAATCAGCAAGGCTAATCAATCAGTTTCGAGACAAAATGTAACTTCTTTTAAGATTTTATTTTTTATTTTTTTGGGGCTTTAAACATTCATTAATTTTGAACGGATCCTAAGGCTGTGATGCCTGGAGGAGCTTCATCCCAATAATTACTTTGTTTTTATATATATATATAAATGTTTTTTGTCTGGATCAAGCTTAAACTCCAAAGTAGCAACTGTTCAAGTTTAGGCATTTGGATTGGTGGGTTCAAATCGACTGCTGAACATTGGACCACCATTCCATGGAAATCCACTGCAGAGTGACTGGTTAAGAGTGGTTGTAATAATCCAATCCCCCCTGCGGTCTGCAGAAGGATTCATCTTTGCTTCGACATTGGGATGACCGTTGGATATGAGGTGAAACGATGACAAGAATTCAAGCCCTAACTAGTTTCTCCCTGCAATCCTGACAAAATGGGATTTACAAGAGCTTCCTGTTGGGACTGAAAAAGACTGCGGCAGTCTGCAGGAACCTGAGAAAAACAGGAAAAATGATGTCAGAGCTTGCCATGTTGATTTGTTTTTTTTTTTCCTCCTGAATGAAGGATTGAACTCCTTTTAAACATCAACAAGGTGTGAGCAAAAACAGAGAAGATGTGTGCCAATTTAAATCACACCAGTGCCATAGCAAGCCTGCTACAAAAAAGGACACAAACATGTCTTTTTTTTTTTCTAAGATTGACACTTAAAAGCATTTTTGTTTCTCACCAAAAAAAGCATCATAAACTTTTAATCTAACTAGTTAGGAACAAACACGTAATAGACAGCTAGAGGCGCACTCACAAACCGTAGTACCAACGTGAGCCATGGTGCACATGTAAACGTGATATGAGGTTTCTCGTCGTCAATCCTGCATTTAAAAAGCTTAGATTGTGTGTGAGTTGGACCTACCCATCAGCTGTTTCAGGTGCCTGAATATAAATGAATATAAAGCCGTGGGCTGGATAGAAGAGGGGTTGTGCTTAAGGGAGATCAGGCAATGCTCTCTATTATGCCTTAGGATACCATTCATAATAAGAGTGTAAAATTAGCATCAATAATAGAAATACTTTCCTTTTTTGTTTCTATAATCTCACATTGTTCCTGCACAGTCTAGAATTTAGTATAATTGTGTTCCAAGCCTAGATACATTTTGAAAAAAACAAATCGTTTCTCTGAACAGCTTTTCCAGCTCCATTATGAGAAATTTTGGGTTTTAAGTAGAAGACTGAAATCAAAGTTTGTGTTCACCCATATATCTTACAGTTTGATCATCCAAACATTAATCCATCCTCTAATCAGTTCATCCATTCATGAAACCTGTCCCTCTGCCAGTCTGTCCAACCATCCTTTCATCCATTATGCTTCTGTCAGTGCAGCCCTCCATCCACCAACCTGTCCATTTGACCTGCTCTTGATCCATGCCAACATTAGCCCATCCAACTGCCAATTCATCTACCCGTCAATCCACTTATCCTTCATCCAATAGACCCATCAATCTTTCAATCATCCATCCATTTATGAGTGCATCCATCTGCTAATATAGCTGTCTACTAGATGAGCCATTTGTATCCACTCATTTGTCAATCTGTCCATTCATCCATCCGGATCTCTAGCCATACTTTAGCTGCATCCACCCACCTATTCATTTCAGCCATCCATCAGTTTATCAACCCTTTCAGTAGTCTGTCAGCCCATACATAGAACCATCTTTTTATCCATTTATTTGTCCATTTAGGTACCCAGGTATCCATCAATTAGTTTTTCAGTCATCAGACGGTTTTACTATCTCGTCTCTTATCTAGTTACAATAAGTACAGCCTGACCTCTACGGAAATATCTCAGTTTTTAGTGATTGTTTGTATATATATATACTTGAACCATGGCTCAAACAAAAACTGTGAAATCTAGAAACATGGAGTCTGGGAACCCTGTGAGCGAGAAAGTTCTTGTTTTCCAACCGAAGCGCAAACAGATACTAGTGAACACTAAGACACATGCTAAAAGGAAAACCATGTGCAGCTCCTCAGTGCTTCTTAAACCCTTTTTTTTAGTATATAAATCTGCTTTTAACTAATACAGTAAAGTTTGTATTACCTAACAAGGTTTGATCAGCTGCCGATTATTCCCTAACATCCCTCTCTATGGTCGATATATTTTTATTTTAACGGTTTTGTGTAATTTTACTCTTCAAGTAACCCATCCTGAGGGAATGCTTATGAGCCGCAGGGAAAGCTTGTAACCGTACAAGATTTGGAGATCTGCAGGATGTGAAATGTGGAGTGTTTGAGTGTTGAGGGCTTGTGTAGAGGAAGGTAGAGGGATGGGGAGAATTTGATGATGTACAAGTGTTACTTCCTCATTCATCTGTGCCAATGTGCTCCACAGACCCTGAGCTGTGAACCGAATACTAGTCTGTAAAATTAAAAAGACAAAAAAAAAAAAATACTTTGGCTAGTGTTACTCAAGTGCCAACCTTCTGCCACTTTCAACCCAATCTGTTGTCCGATCCAACAGGTTGGCTGCTTCTTTTTCACAATCAGTCTTCGTAGCCACCAGGGTCATTTTCGCTAACAAGTCTGAATATGTTCATATATTGAATCAAGAGAACTAAATGGTATGGAATCAAAGAGACAGGAAATCATTTGGGGGTACTTACTTTCCAAATTCAACAAGATGCTTGAAGAAACATTCACCCGAGTTTAGGACAGGAAACCATTGTGTTGGGTCTAATTTTCTTTTACAAGCATTCATATATTGTTTTCCCACCACTATAAAATGTAACCTGCTGCGACCTTTTTGAATCTAAATGTTTTTGGGGGTTTTTAAGTGAAGACTGTAATGCAGTAGGAATTTTTATGTCCTTTAAAATCTCAGGCTGAATATGACCACAGTGAGCCAAGCGTACATGTGCAGGATTAATATTTTAAACTCCTTTGTGGGAAATGACAAACTCAACTAAGTAGTGGATCATTTTTGTCTCAAGCTATTCAGAGCCATCTGCTCAGTATTTCAACAAGTACTCTGCGATACTGCTGTGATTAGGATAGATCAGTCAAATGCAGCTGGATCAATTCCTGGGCCGCCATTAAGGACAATAGTTCAAAAAAGTGGTTCCACCCCCAGCTGTTTTGATAATTAAGTAACAAAATCATCATCTGCTGCACACTGCCAGTCAGCTGGCTGAAAAAGTGCTACTAGACCTAGAGATATTAAGATATGTAAAGGATTATAATGACCAGTCTCTTCCTCTTATCAGTGAAGCACTGTTTTAAAACCCACTGTTATTTCACTAGTAGTTTGTCTGTAAAGCAGACAATTGCAGGCTAGTTAGTAGATAGTCTAACGGAATAACCCGCTTGTTATGCTCTCCAAAGATCAGAAGGAAAAGGGGGATAATATTCTGCACAATAAGCGCTATATTGAGAGAGTGCTTATTTTAAATAGCCAAATCACTTTAAACATGTTTTATTTCAGTTTATTTCAGAGTAAAAAATGTAAAATCCTTATTCAAAGTTATTTCACTGTACTTTTATATTGGCTCATGCATAAAAAATAAGTACTTAGTTTGTGTTTTTCACCTACCACTGGGGTCTGTTTCTAATCGTCTGCCTCAAACTGTCACTCATTGTCGTTGATCTGTACGTGTCTAGTGAAAACGGACAGAAACCTGGTTCTTGTCTGATTCATCAGTCACTTGGTATTATATTTAGCTTTATTCATAACTAAAAAAACTAAATTTAAACGTAAAGCCTACAAGCCTGCCAAGATTATTGTAAAAAAAAATATTTGTGCCGATAAATGTTATGTAGGTTGTGCCAAAAAAATGTAACTTGTTCTTCCTTAATTCCTGCTGCACTACCTCCAACCTCTTCATGACATTTTTTGTAGCTTTTTGGTTAATTTTATTGACAGAGTCATCAGAAATTGCAATGCAAACGTTCCTTGCATAATTTCTAACAGCCTTAGATTATTTCCTGTTCTCGTTGGGAAGTAGCTTTGTATTATGTGTTTGCCGTTGGATGTTTCTTCTCATCTTCCCTAAATGTTAAGCTGCTCCTTTTATCTCACGGTTTTACTGTTTCCATATTCCGTAAAGAGTCTATGTGAACCCCATCCCTAAATAAAACAAAAACGCCATGGCCCTTAAATGCTGAGTAAGTGTCCATATGAAATATTAGTTTAGCAATCACTTTCGCTGTATGTTTTAGCGTTGTTAGCAGCTGGAGCCTGGAATAGAAACACTCCCATGTGCCTGTGCTGGTCACTCATGCAGGTCAAACAGAAAAACTGTAGAACCAACAACGGTGCTTGACTTCAATTAACTTTTCATCATTGTTGCTTCCCCGGATGTTTTTGGTTTGTTTGTTCCCCAACCTCAGCTTTATGACTGATAATCAGGTAGCCTTGTATTACAAACCTTTCACATGTTCGGTCTCAATGCTGAGAATGTAACTTTCTCATTAGTCTAACAGGTTGTTCTGTTGTTCATGTCACTGCTGCATGAGTTCAGTCTGTAATCAAGCTGCAGTTTACTTTGATTATGAAAAAAAAGGTCAACATTGTGACTCCCCTGCTCCCTTTTTTCTTTGCTGCACTAACATCACATAACTACACTGCTCTTTGACTACAACCTACTGTCCTGATATTGTTTTTTTTAATTTAATTTATTGTTTTGTTCTAAGCCATTAAATACCGGGGACTTGGTGCCATGATAACTCTCCTATAGTGCTATTGTGTGGAATTATAATCACTTATAAGATAATTTTTATAGTCTTTTTCACACCAGACCCTTTTTTTGTATTTGTACAGTGGCTTGGTGATATTGATATGTTACCATGAGTTATTGTAACCAATAAAACAGCTTTTAATCAATGATGTCGATCATAGATTTTTATTGTTATGAAAATTTAAATACTTTCCACATTTTAGCTATTTGATGTGGAACAAATAATAAGTGCAACCCAGATGGTTAGGAAACGATTAACTTAATTATAGCTTTGTCTTTTATCATTGATGGCGCTTCATACCACAGTCTGGTGTATTTAACATCTGGTAGTGTAGGCTACTAAATCATATGTGAAAACAAACTTCTATTTCTATAATTAGAAACATACATGCAATAACTACTTTTCAGTCACAGCCCTCACAATAATCTGAAACCCATTCAATAAAAACAACTTGAAAATCATTAAATTTGTATTATTGTTCAGTTGTGGAAATAGCGAACCCTTAATCCGGATTTCAAATGAGTTGTTGAAGCAAATCATAGTTGCAAATCACCAAAATCATCTGCAACAAGACTGAAACTGTGATCCCAAAATCTGTTATTTCAATGTAGAACAATTAACATGCAACAAAATCAGGCAAGGCTGTCCATTAGTGATGGCCCCACCAATACTGAAGCGTTGGTGCATGCATGGAGTTCATAGAGCAAAATTTGTCGGTACACGTATCGTAACAGCAAAGTCAAATGGCTAAACTGCGTTTTTAAACATATCTGTCAACAGGATGCATGTGCTAAAAAAAACAAGTATGGAGCAGCCTCATGGGACGCCGTAAACAGTTGGGATGTATCAAAAAGTTGCTTTCTCAGGTTTGCCTGTCGGGGTAAGCATCTGCAACCATTTGGCCTCTCTTTCTCTGAGGGTGTTTCCTTGGTGCGTGAAAGTGTCTCTGTCTCCACTGCAGACGTCAGGCATAAGGGTTCTTTTGCCACCATTTGCAAAGCTGGCTGAACAGCTTTCATCTGAATGCCATCCTGCACAGGCATCGCAGAGATATGGATGTGCCTTCTTGCCTTGGCCCATTGGCAAGACAGGACTAAGTTGTCCAATTCTGTGTTGCAGGGAGGTGATCACCACAGATGTTAGTCATACAGGCTGGATCGCTGCATGACAATGCAGAGCGGTTTGCGGTCTTTGGGGTCAACAAGAGTGCACCGAACATATAAATGCACTGGAGCTACCTGCTGTGCACATGGCCCTCATGTCATATGGAACCCCAAACCTCAACGTCTCCAGCCTTGGCTATGGCCACTGGGAGGCTGATTGATTGTTCAGACTCTGTCTAATTAGTGCTTGGGCACCTTCACTTGAGAGCAGTACAACAATAGATGGCATCTATTTTCCCAGTGGTGCTCTGCCTGCAATGAGGGTCCAGTTCCCTCCCCAGTGCCCCATGTTCTGGAGTTTCTCCAGTCCCTACTTAATAATGGCCATTCTCCTTCGACATTACGGTGTATGTGGCCGCAATCTCATGTCATCATGCATCTGCTGATGACCATCCAGTGGGAGGCCATGGTCTAGGCTATCTTTATCTGTGTGGTTCTTGTAGATTGCATATTCCACTTGCTCCTCGAGTGCCTGATTGTGATCTGCTTTTGCTTCTTGATTCTTTGTGATCTTACCATTTCAAGCCCTTGGAGCAAGCAGACTTCAAGTGGCTTTTCTAAAAGATTGCCTTTTTGTTAGCCATTGTTTCATCTAAGAGGGTTGGTGAGCTGCATGCCATTTCTGTCAGTCTTTCACGTCTCTAATGGGATCTAAATTTTCTGGTGTTACTTATGGCCCAACATTGGGTTTGTGTCCAAGGTTTTGCCCCATTCGCATTTGTAACCAGCTGTTGAGTTTGACCTGGTTTCAACAACAGTCTGAGATGGAGCCGGAGTTGTTGTGCTCTGCACAGTAGCTGGAGGCATATATTGCAGCCACTACAACTGTGAAATGCTCAGGCCAGCTTTTTGTGGGCTAGGGAAGTTTCAACTGGGGCTGACCTCTTTCTAAACATTTGTCCCATTGGATTGTGGATGTTATCTACCATACCTATTTGCACAGAAAGGATGCTATTTTTGCTTTTGACAACTTTATTTGCACTACAATGCATGTTTTTTTTCTTCTCTTTTTTCAGTTCTCTCTGGAGCAGGCAGACATGGACAAACAGATTAACCATCACACTCTAGCACTTCTTCTCGTCTTTTTCCCGCTACTCCCGCCACTAATATCGACATAGTGCCCAGATGTGCCTTAACTAGACTAGTGACTAGACCTGATGTTTTCAACAATAGAATTGATTAAATAACTGTTGTCCAAGTCCAAATAAATAATAATTATAATAAACTAGTGAGGAAATGGCACATATTTAAATAAATTATGTTCAGGGTGCAATATCTAAAGTGCAGGATCCCACCTGCTGCAGGTTGGTGCAAAGGCCCACTCTACCAGGAGTTTCTTTGCTCCCTGGGCTGCTATGAGATAGCGGGATTTGTTTTCAGCACCACCCTCTAGGGACGCAAATAGAACAAAAGTTACGTATATGACTACGGTTCTAAGAATTCCGGACGACCACCAGAGATCCGTCTCTTTCACTCAGAATCCTTGTTTCTGCTAGAAGATTCTGTAGCAGCGGAGCCCTGGATGACTCGTTTTTGCTTACGAGTGGTCACCCTGGGTGTCACAGGTGTGTCTCTGTTGGTGTGATTACTTGACCTGCATATGTGCAAACAGAAAATTCAGTGCTTCCAGCACCACTATCTGGCATTCATCTCTGATTCATAGAACCGTTGTTATTTACGTAAATCTGTGTTAAAAAGTGCACAAAGATAGTGTGAACAGGAATCTCTGGAGATTAAGTTCATGGTTCTGTTCCTGCAGTGGCAGGAACAGAGTCCTGGAAGAAGAAAGTGCAGTTCGGATTCAATATTGCTCATCTGAAATCAGCCACGGGAACTGGTGGAAAAAAGAGACAGGATCATCTGCCGATACGGATCACCATCTTTTAAAAAAATATTTTTATCAGAGATCATTTAAATAAAAAAATTTAATTGTAGCTATCTGGAATAAACAAAATGCATTACTTTTCAAAAATGTTCTTTAAAAGTTTGGAAAACTTTAATTTACAAATGAAACATCCAACTCTATCTTTTGTGCAGCATCTGTGCTTTAAAACATAAACAATGTTGTAAATATCTAAAATCGAAAATTAAATGGTGTCCTTCCACATCTACTTGGTTTATTTCATGAATTAAAAACTGAAATGTAAAAAAAAAAAAAACAAGATTGACAAGTTTTAGATAAGTTCAGGTTTAATGGAATCTGGCAAATCTCAAAGTATTTCAACAACGCATTTGAGAAAGAAATGTTTACAAAATGCAGTGGTCTGCAACTGCCAGCCTAATTTATCATGTATAAATAAAATAGAATATCATAAAATATCAGATGATTAAGTACTTTTACTGTACAATTTGGGTTGTTAGAAAATACAGTACATGCTTTCCTCCTTTCATTACATGGATTATTTTTTTTTTCATTTACAACTGATCCTATCTAAACAGACATGTCAAAAAAGGACTTAGAGAATCATAAAAAAGGCATTTTGATCATTAAAGTCACGGCAGGTTAGTGTCACACTACAGAATCCAACATTTGGCATTTTGACCAATAGAAGTCGGCCCCAGGTGGAGAGTAGTTTTTAACAACCACAGTCCATTTAGGCTGATCTTTTTCGTTATTAATGAACTGCTTTTCTTGTGAGCACCTGATGTTCCTGGTTGGATTCAAAAAAGGAGAAAATACTTAATTTTCCATGTGAAATCTACAGAATTTGGAACCACTTTCTAACCAACAAAAAAATCTTTCACAAGCAAAAAAAAGAAACGAACTTCATAATAAAGACACATTTTAGGTACATTTGTTCACTGAAAGGATCAACTTTTCCCCGCTGACATTTACAGACAGCACTGCAGCAGGACGACTCCACAAGAGCCAGGCTACAGAGCGGTGATTCACTGCTGGGCCCGCAAGTACTGGTTCGTAAATTCCTCCAGTTGTTTCTCTAGTTCTGTTGCTTTATGCCTGGACAAAAAACAAAGATGTTTAAAACACAGATTAAAGCTTCAGATCTATCCATACCAACTTCAATTTGCCTTTTGCAATAAATGGACAAAAATGTGAAATCCACATTAGATCCAATTACTTTTTTTTTTTGAGTTCACATAACAAAATGCAAGAAAGTTTAGGAAGCATAAATGCCTCTAAAAGGCACAGTAGGTCTGACAAGGTAAAAACTATTCTCCCGGTCACGGGTTCAGGACTCACCGCAGGATCTTGGAGCGGCTCTGGACCTTTTCCAGCTCATCTATGTTAGCTGTCAGCCGACAGATGTTTTCCTCGAGCTCCTTCTGTGTCTGATCCACTTGTTGACAGAGCCGAGCGAACGTTGTTGCCATTTCCCTGCAAACACGGACAGTGCAGTCAGAATGCTTACACGAGGAAGTCATGATAACACAACAGGCTCAGAAAAACAAAATCCCAAAACATTTTGATATTGTTTTTTAAATCTTTGTATTCATTCAACATTAAAAAAATATATATATAAATATTTTTTTATGTGATTAGTATTGTATTTTGGAAGCAAGCACAAGCAACACTCCAGAGAACTTACTGTTGGACCTGGTGGCTGCAGTTTGCACTGGTAAAGCTGACAATAAGCTGCAGTTTCTCAGTAGCAAACTCCACAAACTGACGCTTCAAGGCACGCTCTTTTGC